CTTGTCCTTTTTATCCCAGAGCTCTGGAATAGAAGGTAATGTGTTGGGATTCTTTTGGTTTAAAGTTTGTTAGCAGAGTATTAAAGAGGCAGAGTCCATGTTGTGTTTAAAAGAATAAAAGTTTACTACAACCTAGCATGGGGAAAAGGTACACAGGATATAAAATAACAAAGAGCTTATATGCCTACATCCTTACAGCTAGACTGAAAATGGCAGAAGAGAGGCTTCTCCTTCTTGTTCAGAACAAAGAAACACAAGACGGGAAGAGAAGCCATAAAATGCTAATACTTGGCACTTTGGTTTCCAATCAGAACAACAAACTAGCTCTGTAGTTCCCGGGCTTTCTAACTGTCTAAAACAGATTGGTTACAAACAAACATGTGACTTTGCAAACATCATTAACCCAGTAAATACTGAAGTGTTTTTGCCATTGAATTATAAGTTGGGCTGCGGCCCCCGGTGGTTGGATATGAGGAGGAAACGGCTCTGAGAGAAGGAACTAATGTTTTGAGTTACTGGGATCAAAACCAAGACGAAGGGTACGCTCTGGAGACTTTGCCTTCCTTTTGGCCTTCGTCAGTTGCCCAGCCTCGCTGTAGAGCCTGGGAACGGAATCCCTCTGTTTGTTTTTCAGACGGGAAAACTCGATCCGCACTACCCGCGCGTCTGTGGCCACAAGGGCAACGTGCTGGACATCAAGTGGAACCCTTTCAATGACTTCATAATCGCTTCCTGCTCTGAAGACGCAACGGTGAGTTTGACCCGGGGGGGGGAGATTTCGGGGTCCGCAAAACACTTGCCTGGTGCAGATCTGATGCTGCCTGATTCCCGCCGACCCCCAACCCTGGTTAGAAGAGGAGCCTGCTGTGCTCCCTTATTTGTCAACTCCAGGTTGGGAAATACCAGGAGATTTGGGGTGTGGGGCCTGGGGAGGGCACAGTTAGGGGAGGCGAGTGGGATGTGAACCAGGTTTAACTCCACGCACCCCATCCTCCAAAGCAGCCATTTTCTCAAGGGGAGCTTGTAAGGTCAGTTGTAGTTCCAGGAGGCCCCACCTGGAGGTTGGCAACCCTTTCTACAGCCCGGCCCGACAAAGTCCCATTTATGTCCAATCTGGCCCTCATAACAAATGAGTTCGACATCCCTGGATTAGAATCTTTATTTGGTGCTTCCTGCCCCCCCTCCCCCTTGAGAAACCCTCTCACCTCTTCCCAGGTACATAGTGTGACTCTCTTTTTAAAAAAATTATTTTTATTTTACATTCAGCTTATACCCCGCTCGAACCCCCCTGAAGGGGTCTCTGAGCGGCTTACCTCTTGCCCCAAGGGAGCAGCACTCTCTGACCTTCTAGTGCCCGTTCCTTGCATCGTGGGCAGGTGGCCACCGCCAAGCGGGGGGGGGGCGGAACCCACAATGAAGCTGTGACCTGTTGAAGGTTAGCTGGGTGTGGACTGGGGGCACCTCCTCCCCCATCTCCCCCACTGCCTACAAACACCCCTTTGCAGATTGAACACCACAGGTCTTGATTGGCGCTGCTTCTACTGTGGTCAGGGCAGGGGGATTAATGGAGCGGTCTCTGCCTCCCCTTGTATTGCCCAGGTGAAAGTCTGGAACATTCCGCAGCACTTGCTAAAGCAAAGCATCACGCATGCGCAGAAGGAACTCCTGGGTCATGCGCGAAGGGTGGGGCTTATCGAATGGCACCCAACTGCGAGCGACATTCTTTTCAGCACCGGTTATGATTATAAGGTGAGCTGCCGTCGAGGGAACTCTGGTTTCTGTTCTCTTTCCGTGCGGGTCGTGCATAGAATAGAAAAGGGGAGATGGCATGTTCTGTGTCGTGGGAAGAGAATTTTGTCTCCCTGTTTGTTTCTTGTCTTCCAAGTCACTGAGATTATAAATCCAGCCCTTCCAGGCACGGAGGACAGGAAGGCCGGTGACTGCAGGGGAGAAATGAGAGGGGAGGGTAGTCCAGGTTATTCCCAAGGGGATCTTGTATTCTTGTAAGTTTCTTGTTTTTAAATTGATTTTATTATACATACTTGGTGCATTTCTTATGGGAAAGCAGCATACAAGACTTAAAAATGTGGACCGCAGCTCCCCAGGAGTACATAAAAACTACAGATTCTGGTACCGGGGCACAGAGCTGAACTTCCAAAGGATCTGAGGGGAGCAGAGCTTCACTCCTCCATATGCAGCCAGCTGGGTGACCTTGGGCAAGCCACAGTTTTCTCAGAGCTGTTCTCTCAGGAGCAGTCCTCAAAAGAGCTCTCTCAGCCCCACCTACCTCACAGGGCGTCTGCTGTGGGGAGGGGAAGGGAAAGGAGTTTGTAAGCTGCTCTGAGACTCCAAGTGAAGGGCGGGGTACAAATCCAATCTCATTTTTTTCTTCTTAAATGCAGACCTCTTGATCTATTTTGTTTTAAAACAGATGTCTGCTCATTTCCCCCACCCCTCCCTCACCATCTCCTTGCTGCTCAAAAACAGCGGCTTACCCCAGGGTGCTGCTCCCACTCTGCCCTCCATGCTGGTGTGTTTCTGGGTGTGAACGGACAGTGCCTGGGGAAAGAAGCACGCCACCAGGTGCTCTCTCCCTATGCCGCTTCTTATGCGAACGCACTGACGAACGCGCATCCCTCTCTGCCTCAGGTCATGATCTGGAACCTCGACACCAAAGAGTCTGTCATTGAGACCCCGGTGAAGACAATCAGCTTCCACACGGACGTGATCCTCTCCATGTCCTTCAACACAGACGGGAGCCTCCTGGCCACAGCCTGCAGGGACAGGAAGATACGGATCATCGACCCCCGAGCAGGAACCCTTTTACAGGTACGGAGAGGTGTCACCAGTACCCACGGAGACCTTGCCGCCTTACCTCAACAGACGACAGAAATGCAGTTCTCTTCTGGGTGCAGGATAAGGCCGGTGTGGGCAGCAGGCCCGTAGCCAGGATTTTGGGGCTTGTGGGGCGAAACTTTTTTCTGGTGGGGCTGCCATCTGTCTCTAAACAACTGTACTTTTAAGTAATAATAAAGACAATAATACTACTAATAAATTAAATTAGATGCAGCACAGACACCCCCCCAGAACAGCCACCCCAGACATAAATGAAATGCAAAAACACCCCCCACCCTCCCACTCCCTAAAGCAATGAAATCCCTTACAGTTTTCAGAAGGAAACCTTGTGGGGCTGGCCCTTCCAGTAAGGGGGCAGAGCCCCCGATAGCCCTGCCGTAGCTACGGGCCAGGTGGGCAGGGAGAGGGGGAACACGTCTTTTTCCTGAAGTTCTGTGGCCAGAGACAGGACGGACTCAGGGACCACGGAGCTAAGCCCACAGTGATGTGATATCAGCCCGGTAATCCAGGGGTTGCAATCTTGCCTTATCCAGTAGCAAGGAATAGTTAGATTCAAGTCCAGTGGCGCCTTAGAGACTAACCAGGGTTTCATGGAGTAAGCTTTCAAGAGTCAAAGTTCCCCTTCATCAGATACAAGCAGAGCAGAAAAGTAGATCTGAGTCTTTTTATACTGGTCCGAAGGTGCGGAGGGTGTTGTAAAGAATGCTCATAAAGGATGCAGAGGTACCATGTATATTGCCATCAACTCGATTACAGCAAGAAGGGAACTAATAATAGTACTTATCGTATGGCAGCGTGTGTAGAATAGCCAGGATATTTTAAGATTTGTCTGTCTGTCAGAAGGTCTAGCTCTTCTAGCGTTATGCACCACTAGGTGGCGAGCTAGGCTTGTTTTAAGGCAAGAGACATTGCAGAGGTGGTTTGCCATTGCCGGCCAAGGCAACACTAGCCAAGGCCGACCCTGCTTAGCTTCCGGGATCTGACGAGATTGGGCTAGCCTGGGCTATCCGGGTCATGGCAGCAGAAGGGAAGCTGATTACAATATACATTGTACCGCTGCGTTCTTTACAAGCATTCTTTACGACTAACCCTCTGACTTTCTGACTGGGACACAGAGACTCAGAGACCTCCAGTTCTTCTACTCGTATCTGACAAAGGAAGCTCTGACTCTCCAAAGCTCGTACCCTGAACCTCTTGTTGGTCTCTAAGGTGCTACCTGACTTGGATCTAAGTGTTCTACTGCAGGCTAACGTGGCTACCTTTGGAAACTATCTTTTCTTTTTTTAAGTACCCGAAGGTACACCTTTATTGTTTTCTTATATACCTACACACAGACATAAACAACTACAACAAACAACACATAGGCCAAGAGACTTATTACCATTTGTTACTACATCTACATCATCGCTATCATTTGTTAATATTCTCTAGCTCCATTATTATACATTGCTACACGCTCCAATGTTAATTTTGCCATATCAGCTTAATCTTTAACTCCATTCTCATTGTACCAATCATATAGTCTCTTCCAGATTTTTTGAAATGTCCATTTCTTTGTACCTCTCATTTCCATGGTTAATTTGTCCATTTCCGCCGCTTCTAATAGTTTATTAATATATTCCTGTTTAGTTGGTGTTTCTTGGGTCTTCCAATATTTGGCATATAACATTCTTGCTGCCGTTGACATATATACAATCAAGTAACTATCCGTTTCCTTAAACTCTTTTGGAAAGATATTTAACAAAACCAATTCTGGAGTAAAGGGGATGTTACATCTTACTATTTTTTTCCATCATACAATGTACCCACTTCCAAAATATTTTGGAGACATCACATAAACCACCACATATGATAAAATGTACTTACCTTGTTTTTACACTTTTTGGAAACTATCTTCATGGAGCGAGTCTTAGCCAAATTGCCTTGAATTATTAATTAGTCTAGGGGAAGTTATGATTATTAATTTTGCAATAGGCAAATTAGGGTTCACACCAATGCATACAAAAGTCCCACCAGAACAGACACAGAGACTGTATTCAGTAAAATATAATGTCTTTTTACTGGGGGAATACATATCATTCAAACAGTACACAACTACACACACATTTATAGAACTAAAGAAGCAGAGGTGATTGATAGTTTACAGAGGGGTTATACAACCTGGTCCAGATGTGCAGAGGCCCATGGATTGTGGCCTAAACTCAGAGAGTTTAGGGGTGGACTGCCATTTTGGATTATGGCAGAAAACACACAGGCTGAGGCCATGTTTACGCTGGGATATACCCTATGGAAGACAATGCAGACTAATGGCTGGTCCTGGGAGTTGGTCTCAGGTGAGAACAATAGATTTCCTGGAGCAATGATGAGTCCCAGGGGTGTGTGGCATCAGGATGGGCAAGGCCTAGATGTGACCAATGAGCTTCCAGAGAGGCAGGGTCTGGATTTAACAATAGAAGCCAGGTGCTGGGTGGCCAGTTGAATGGATAATCTGACCACTTAATGGTCCTGGCCAGGGTAAACAAAAGGTGGGAGATGTCCCTGATTAGCGTCAGGAAGGATCGTTAATAATTTGAATGTTTGTCCCGGTATCTTGATGGACAGAGTAGGAAAGATAAGGATTCAGACAAAGAATTAAATAGACTTTAGAAATGTAGATACTTTACCTGCTAGAACTCATTGTTATTCCATAAGCATAATCTCTGCTGGGTGGAGGGGGAAGACTGGAGGCTTGCTCTGAGGTTGTCTGTCACCTGAAAATGGAGACCCCTTTTTCAGAGCTGTGGCTAGCTCTGTGTTTCAGAACCAAGAGTGCCTTCCTTGGCCTGAGTTTTGTGGGTCTCTGGGTCAGGTTAGAAGTGGGGTGCCCCTGCTATTGGGGCTACCCAAGAGTAAAAGGCAGCGCCTCTGGCAACACAAGGACGTCACTAAACTGAGGGGAACCTCCATAATCAGAGGCACTAAACGTCTGAATCCCAGAACCAGGAGGCAACATCAGGGGGAGGCTTCTCTGCCCCGTCACTGGCTGTCCAGCGGGACTGGTTGGCCACTGTGTGAGACAGGATGCTGGACGAGATGGACCAGCTGGGCTGTTCTTATGTTCTTCTACATTTCGTAAGGATGAGGAAGGTCACTGTAGCAGAGCTTGTGTGCAAACCTTCCTGTGACCTCTTCTAAAGTAAAGATTTATTTAAAACATTTAAACATTTATATGCCACCTTTCCACCCAAATATGGTCCCTAATGCGGCCACCATCAAAGCATTAAAACATTTAAAACAGCATGTATAAAATATTTAACAATACAGTAAAACAGACACACAGACACACAACCAGGGATGGCCAGTAAGAGTTTACTGGGGGTATACCAAATGAAACAAAAACGTCTGCCCCTGCTGGCCAAAAACAGTGAGACAGAAAGATTGGAACAAATCTAACAGGGGAGAGAGTTCCAGAGTTTCAGGGCCACGACTGAGAAGACCCGAGAAAGACGTGTATTCTGTTTTAATAAAACAACCATTAAAGCTGTCGACACTGATATTGTTTAAAATCAGCAAACCTGCATTCCGTTTAGCCAGGACTGGGGAATGGTCGAGTAGCTGAAGGAAGGGTTCTCTGCCTAGAAAATCCTTGCAGGTTTCACAGCTGGGGGAGGGGGTCTGCTGGAACCCCCGGCGCTGGCCCAGATTGGTGAGAATCCACATTTGATGTTTTGAAATCCACTTTCTTTCTGCAGCACATCGTGTGCAGTCAGAAGCTGTGCCTTGGAGGCTTACCGCGGTGTAACAGAGTTGGAGTCCAGTGGCATCTTTAAGACCAATAAAATATAATTCTGGGTACAAGTTTTTGTGTGCATGTACCCGAAAGCTTATACCCAAGAATTAAACTTTGTTGGTCTTAAACACGCCAGAGGAGCCCCGACCTGGAGAGCTAGCCCGATCTCGTCAGATCTCAGAAGCTAAGCAGGGTTGACCCTGGCAGGTACTTGGATGGGAGACCTCCTTGGAATACCAGGGCTGGGATGCAGAGGCAGGCAAGTATCAAGCTACTTCTCTGAACATCCCTTGCATCCAAGCCCCACTAGGGATTGCCAGAAGTCAGCCATGACTTCCAGGCATGTGCGCGCGCACACACACACACACACACACACTCAAACACACACAAATGGCCCCCCAAAAAGGTGCCACTGGACTCAAGCTTTGTTCTGTTGCTTCAGACCAGCACAGCTGCCCACCTGACTCTATCTTACATATTAGGCCACACACCCCTAGTGTAGCCAATCCTCCAAGAGCTTACAGTAGCCCCAGTAAGAAGAGCTCTGTAAGCTCTTGGAGGATTGGCTACACTTGGGGTGTGTGGCCTAATATGCAAAGGAGCTCCTGCTGCCAGTAGAGCCCTTACTGCAATGTCTGAAGGCACTATACAATTGGTCTTAGTGGGTTCCCCACCACCACCACCACCACCACCAGGGCCCGAGAAGTGGCAGTTTGGAGAGGGGGCTGAGAATTCTTGGCAGTCCCTCCACCTCTTTTGCAGAGCTGCTGCCCCCCAATGGCTGAAAGAATACCCCCCTTGCATTTCTGTGCATTGTGTTTGCGAGTAGGCCCCCCCACCCCGTACGTGCCCAAGCCAGCATCTTCAACCCATCGGATGCCTCTCACATCCGCATTTTGCAGAACGAGGCACAAATCTGCATCCACGTCTGCCTCTCTGTGGCCTTTTGCACAGTCATTACTTAATGTGCCAAGTCTGTTGTGCAAGATCAGCCTTCCTTTTTGTCCCCAGCTGCATAAACCTTGCAGATGCAGTGTAAACAAAGCCACTTCAGGAAGAAGGGGGGGAAAACCTCTTCCCTCTTTGTTCTTACTTACTTATTTATTTATTCAAAACAAATGCTTTCCAGTACTGTTCGGGTTTGCCAGATCCAAGGTATTGCAGGTGGTTAGGGTGTTGTTCACTCTGTGACAGATTGTGTGCTAATAGGAGTTTGTTGTATGGCACTGTTTGGGTAAGTGAGACTTGGAGAAGGAGAAGAAGAGATTGGATTTATACCCCCGCCCTTCACTACCCAAAGGTGTCTCAGAGCAGCTTACAAACTCCTTTCCCTTCCCCTCCCCACAACAGACCCCCTGTGAGGTAGGTGGGGCTGAGAGAGCTCTTGACAGAAACTACTCTTTTTCAAGAACAGCTCTTATCAGAGCTACGGCTTGCCCAAGGTCATCCAGCCAGGTGCAAGTGGAGGAGTGGGGAATTAAACCTGGCTTTCCCAGATTAGAGTCCGCGCACTTAACCACTACACCAACAGAAGATCCTCCTCTGGCAGTGGAGGCAAAACAGGTGTGCGGTGGGAGGTGGGGTGGTGTCCTAGTTTGGAAATAATAGGTGCAATTGGGAACAATGGGTGCAGTTGGGCTCTCTTTTCCTCAGAGGGCAAGGTGTGGAGGCCGGTCACAGCAACATGCCGCTTGAGAGCAGTGTTTCCCAGCCTATTGGTCGGGATCCATGCTCCCTCTAAGCTATGGAGTCCTGTGAGCAAAAATGCTACTTTGTGAACTACTGGCATTAAAGCTGTGAGCGGGTGATTTGGCTACTGCATCAATCAGTTTGCTCTGGAGCCCTCCTTCCTGAGCTAAGACAAAAATGTGTGAGCCAGAGGCTGAAAAACTGTGAGCTGGCTCACACGAACTCAGCTTAGAGGGAACACTGGTTGGGATCCAAAAGGGGGTCTGGAAGCCTCTGAGAGTGGGTTGTGGGTCAGCCCTTCCTCGTGGCTGCCCCTGCCTCTTCCATTGCTCTCATTTGTATTTTCGAAACCAAGATCTGACCCTGGAAATAAATCTCTTCCATGTCGTACATCAGTTGGTATTTTTCTTCTTCACTGCATGCACATGTCGATCAAGGGAAACGTGCCCTGGTGGTTACTCGAGTGAGTTTCTTTGACTTTTAGGGGGGATTAGAGGGAGTCACTGGAGAAGGACAAGGTGCTCGAAGGCCGGGACGTCACCTCCACTCGCAAAGGCTGTGTCATGTCGGAATGCCACTTCCTTGGGGTTCATAGTGGGGGCAGCGGCGCCCTTTGCGTGATGCTTGTTGGTTTCTCCAGAACATCTGGTTGGCCTGTGTAGAAGATGGGATGCTGAAGTAGACGGGAGCCAGGGTCAATGTTCCCTCTAAGCTGTGGAGTCCTGTGAGCAAAAATTCTACTTTGTGAGCCGCTAGCATTGAAGTTGTGAGTGAGCGATTTGACTGCCACATAAATTAGTTTGCTCTGGAGCCATCCTTCCTGAGCTAAGACACAAATGTGTGAGCCGGAGGCTAAAAACCTGTGGGCTAGCTCACACTAACTCAGCTTAGAGGGAACACTGGCCAGGGTCATAGTTTGCTCAGGGCGCCAAACAACCTCGGGCTACCCTTGCATGTGTCCCCAGGCCAAGTAAATTTGGACCTCTGGGTCACCATAACGGAAAGGGTGGGAACCACTGCTTTAGAGCATTCCCATGCAGGCCCATTGAGAAATCCAGCCGTCCAAGGCCCCGTGCACGCTCAGTCCTGGAGTACGTTCTGTGCATGGAACACGACGGTCACTCACTCGTTCATTCATTCATCCGGGGTGTTTTTATAGGACAGTCTTTATGAACTTGACACATTTCGGCTGCCGAAATCCCATTACCAGCCCTGCTCCCAGTTGATCCGGCCACTTCCTGCCTGCCCACCTGTGATAGACAACGTCCTGGCATCGAAGCCCACGGCCCCTCTGCTGCCGCTCAACCTCCAGAATGTCATTTTCATTGTTTAGTCAGTGTGGTGTAGTGGCTGCGAGTGTCGCACTCAGATCCAGGAGCCCCAGGCTCCAATCCCCGCTCTGCCATGGAAGCTTCCTGGGTGACCTCAGGCCAGTCCCACAGCCTCAGCCTCACTGACCTTGCAAGGTCGTTGTGAGGATAAAATTGGAGGAGAGGAGAAAGGAGTAGTCAATAGATACGTTTTATTATAACCTGCGTTTCTTCCCAAATAGTGACCCAAAGAGGCTCACAGTAACAACCACCGCCACAGAAGTACAATAATACATACACAGGAGAAGAGTGGAGTAAAGCTTCAAAATACAGTGTGACCCCCCCCCTCTCTGTTTTTGCAAGGAGATCTTCCTGTTGGCTCTAAGCCACAGCCCTCAGGCTAAGGATCAAAGGCCAAGGACCGTTTGACTCACACACCTGCCTGCCATAAGTACCTTAAGAGCCAGTGTGGTGGGGTGGTTAAGAGCAGCAGACTCTAATCCGGAGAGCCGAGTTTGATTTTCCGCTCCTCCACAGGAAATCTGCTGGGTGACCTGGGGCCAGGCACGGTTCTCTCAGAGCTCTCTCAGCTCCACCTGCCTCCCAAGGGGCCTGTTGTGGAGAGAGGAGGAGGAGGAGGTTAGATTTATGCCCCGCCCTTCACTACCCGAAGGAGTCTCAGAGCGGCTTACAATCCACCTTCCCTTCCCCCCCCAAAAAGACACCCTGTGAGGTAGGTGGGGCTGAGAGAGCTCTGAGAGAACTGCTCTGAAAGAACTTGTAACTGACCCAAGGTCACACCAGCATCTGCATGGGAAGGAGTGGGGAATCAAACCTGGTTCTCCCAGATTAGAGTTCGCGCTCCTAACCATGACACCAAACAAGGAGATTGTAAGCGGCTTTGAGACTCCTTAAGGTAAAGAAAAATGGGGCTTAAAAACCAACTCTTCTTCTACCTGCACAGAAGGGAGAGAAACACTCAGCTTAGATGTTACAGGCTGGCCACCATCGTCCCACAATCCCCCCTCCTGTTTTCACATGCCAAAACACAGGCCGTTCCCACCAGTCCTGTCTGCCCAAACGTCCCTCTTATACCATTGTGAGGGCTCCCCCCCACCCCCGTCCATTCCACTCTGTGTTGGCTGCAAATAGTGGTAAATAGCAGGGTGCTCGTGCTCCTGGCACACTGCGCCGCAAATTTAAAGGGAATGGAGGAGCAGCGGATGCCCTGGTGTGCGGTGGGGAGCCCTTGGTGGGCCAGCCCTTTGCTGAAGACGTCATTTCTGGCCTCTGAAGACGGTTGATCAGCGAGGGATGTGGCAGTGTGTGCTCTCAGCACACTGGGGGTCCCCGAGAGCCTAACAAGGCCCTGCAGCTTTAGAGCATCGGACTAGGACCTGGAAGACCCCAATTGGAATCTCCACTCTGCCATGGAAATTTGCCAGGGCCAGTCGCACCCTTTTGGCCTCACCTACCTCACAGGGTTGTTGTGAGAACAAAAATGGAGGCACAGCGTAACCCACTTTGTGCTCCCACTGGAGAGAAAGGGAACGTGCAAATGAAGTGAGTAGGTAAATGCATCTGACAACCCTGCATCCGTTCTTTCAGAACACACCTGCTGCACATTGTAAGCTGCATTAGGGAGAAGAGTGGGATATGAATATTGGAATAAATAACATAAACACAGAGATACATAAACATTGTCAATTGGGATGAGGGTGGGTTTTTGAGAGTGCAGTCCTGTGCAGAAATTACTCCAGTTGAAGCTCTTTGGTCTTTGTGGGCTTAGGCTGGAGTAACTCTGCCTAGGATCACACTGCAAAAACGTGTCTCAAAAGTCAGTGAGCTTAATTTACAGGGAGGAAGTGCAGCGTGCTGGATTCCCTGTCGCTGATCCCCCGTGTCTTCTTGCAGGAGGCAAGCAGCAAGTCCCACCGAGTGAATAAAGTCTTGTTTCTAGGAAATATGAAGAAGCTGGTCTCCACAGGGACGTCCAGGTGGAATAACAGGCAAATTGCAATCTGGGACCAGGTGAGTCACACAGTCGTGTCGCCCCTTCTTGCAAGCTGTTGCTATGCAAAAGGTTCCCCCCGCAGACCATTCTGGGGCACTGTCTTGCTGCCTGCAGTCATTCAGATGGCCAGGGCTTTTTTTGTAGAAAAAGCCCAGCAGGAACTCATTAGCATAATAGGCCACACCCAATGGCAGATACTTATTAGCATATTAAACCATACCCCAACAGTGCAGCTCATTCGCATATTAGGCCACACCCCCATGCCTTCCCTTGGCTTGCCCGGGTGCTCTGCGGCTGCAGGGAGCCCAGGCAAGCCGACCCGTGGAGGGGAGGGGAGGCAGTGACTTGCCTGGGCGCCCCAGGAGCAGGGCCTCCCCTGGCCAACCCACCTCAGAGTCATTGGGAGGGTCACTCTCCAGGCTTTCCATCTGTAGCCACGCACGCAGAGGTTTTGGCTGTAGTGGGCGTGGCCAACTCTGAAGCCAGCCGGAACTCCGTTCCTGTGCGTTCCTGCTCAAAAATAGCCCTGCAGATGGCGCTAACACTGGACAATTGCATTCTTCTCTCTGCCAAGGAAGAGACAAAGGGCTTTTCTGCATTCTCATTTTCTGAGCTTGTGTATTCCTGTTGCTTTGGGGGGGTGGGTCTGTTTTGCACATGTTTAGTTCCATCCTCTTGTAGTCAATTCAATATTACACTGCTGGATGACTGGCATATCCCCCTTTTTATGCCTGCCGTAAAGCAGTGTAATATCAAACTGACCACTGGAGGGAGCAAAACATATGTGGAACAACCCCCTCCCCCGGGAAGCAAGAGGAACACACAAGCAAGGAAAGTAACAATGTGGAGAAACCCCCGTATCTCATGGAGGTGCCAGGAACAGTGGCTTTTTGGCCTCCCAAGTTGCTGAGCCTGTGGTGTTTCAAGTTCTCAGAGGCACTGCAAGCTACTTTTTAAAAAGTATAAACCTGGCAGACGTTTATTTATTTATTCATTCATATTTATAGCCTTCCCTTCCCGTGAGCGGGTTCAAGGCGGGCAACATTGGATCAGCATAATCAAAGCAACATTTCATTAATACAATAAATAATTAATATATGAAAACACGGTCATCTACATTAAATGGTGGTCACAATCCTACAGTAAACATTTTTTAACAGTTGCGAGAGGTCCTGGCTGGCCCGTAATAAGATGCAGATAAAGCCAGCAGTTGTTAGAACGGGTGGCAAAGCCTCAGGGAAGGCCCTGTGTGGACATCTGTTGCCTCAGCCGAAGGCCTGGCGGAAGAGCTCCGTCTTGCAGGCCCCGTGGAACTGACGAAGATCCCGCAGGGCCCTGATCTCAATGGGGAGCAGCCCTGGCCCTGGTGGAGGCAAGACGGACATCTTTCGGGCCAGGGACCACCAGGAGATGCTGATCCATTGAGCGTAATGCTCTTTGGGGTGTATACGGGAAGAGGTGGTCCCTCAGGTATGTTAAGTCAAGCCATGGAAGAGCAGGGGTTTAAATTTTTTTAAAATGGTTAGTTTGGTGGTCCCCCCCTTCTGTATTTTTTTTCTTCCTCCAACTCCAAAGCTGTGGAGGTCAGCTGGTGGGAACCTCCAGCTCAGAGCCCGGGACAGGGTGAGGAAGCGGGGGGTTGGGTTGGTTGGTGCTGGACCCTGCACTGAGCATGCAGTGGTTGTAGTCGGAGGCAGGGGAAGACAGTCCAACCAATCTCAGGGGCTTGATTCGGGTGCCAGTTTGGCTAGGCTTGCGTACAGAAAGAGACCTTTCCGTCTTCCTCTCCAAGCCCAGAGGTCCAAATCGTCGTCTGTTGAACCTGCCTGGAGCTGTACATGGTGTGCGCCTCTTCACAAGCTGTCACCGAGGTGGCTAAGTTGGGGTACTGATGTGAGAAACGGGTCTGGTTCTCACTGCCAGGGGGTAAAACCTATATGTGGGCTGAATTGTGTCAGATTGCCAGTAGAAAACCTCACAGTGGTGGTGCCTCACAGGACTGAATGCTGTTTTTTACACACACACACACATTTCCCTCCACCTAGAAATCTAGCATCTCAGGGAGAAGGCTAGAGATAGAACTTGTCTCCCTGATATGCTAGTTTTCCATGTGAAGGGATGTTTTTAGGGTAGAAGATTCAACCACGTAGGTTTCCATCTCCAGTCCAAGCATAGGCTTGCTACCTCATTGAGAATTCGGCCTCACCAGCCCACAGGTAACCCCCAAAATCCTTCTTGAAGTGCATTTTCGTAACCAGTTATCCCCCAGCCTTCTCATCGTAGAAGTATCTCGTAATCTTACTTGCAGCTATTTTGCTTCTTACTTCTCTGCAGGGTGACCTTTCTGTGCCTTTAGTAGAAGAGGACATCGACGGCTCCTCGGGACTCCTGTTTCCTTTCTATGACGCTGACACCCACATGCTGTATGTTTTGGGCAAGGTGAGTTCTTATCCTTGGCACGAGGTCAGAATACGTGCTGTGGCCATCCTCCAGGGATTCCTTGCCCGTCCCCATCCCCCCGACGCTTTTATGAATGTGCTGGAAATGCCCCCAGGTAATCACAACACGTGAGACCCTCCCGTTGTCCCATAGAGACCCGAATGCATTTCGCCGTTGCTGTCTTCATCAGTGGCCTACCCAAAATACAAAATGTTCAAAAAACCAACCTTCTCTTGTTCTGTGATTCACAGTAGGGGGAGCCTTGTAGGTTACGATTACTTTGGGGAGGCTTTCTGCGAGGATCTGTTTATTTCAAGGATCTCTGTGTTTGTTTTGGATCCACTTCTAAACAACAGGTTAGATTTTCCTCTGCATATTCCCCCCCCCAAAAAAAACCTTTTTCATTTTGGGTTGTTTGCTGGTTTGGTATAGTGGTTAAGAGCACAGGCTCTTATCTGGGAGAACTGGGTTTATTATTTATTTATTTCATTTATTAAGATTTATACCCCGCCCTCCCCGCGGGGAGTTTGATTCCCCACTCCTCCACATGCAGCTGCCGGAGTGACCGTAGGTCAGTGACAAGTTCTTTCAGAGCTGTTCTCTCCGGAGCAGCGGAAGAGCTCTCTCAGCCCCACCCACCTCACAGGGTGTCTGTTGTGGGGAGGGGAGGGAAAGGAGTTTGTAAGCCGCTCTGAGACTCTGAGTGAAGGGTGGGGTATAACTCCAATCTCTTCCTCTTCTTAATTTCTCCCCTTTTGTTCTACACTGCTTTTGCCTCTCCCCCCAATAGGAAGTGGTATCCAGGTCAGTGAGGAGAAGCTGTCGACATTCAGGCCTCAATTCTGAGTTCTGCTGCTCAGAGTCCTGCTCCGACAGTGTTGTGCAAAAATAGACTATACTAAAAATTCTGTTGGCCTCTGTGGTCAAGGGTTGCCTCTTCCTGATTTTATCTTCCTCTCCGCAGTATTCCAGGGCAAGGGGGAAGAGAAGGCGTAGGGGTCCTCTCCTCTCCCTGAAGTGCTGCACACATGGAAAGGCTGGCAACAGGAGAAGCTTGACATAGCTTAACGCAAATTAACCGTGGATTTATTATTAGAGGGGTTAGGCCCACTTCTGCAGCCCTGTCTGGGTTCCGTCCTGAGCAGAGTAGAGGCCTCGCCAGTGTTCCCTCTAAGCTGCGTTAGTGTGAGCTGGCTCACAGTTTTTTAGCCTCCGGCTCACCCATTTTTGTCTCAGCTCAGGAAGGATGGCTCCAGAGCAAAGTAATTTATGCAGCAGCCAAATCGCTCGCTCACAACTTTAATGCCAGGAGCTCACAACATAGGATTTTTGCTCACGAGACTCCACAGCTTAGAGGGCGCATTCGCCTGTCATCCCTTAGTTACGCTACAACAGCCATTTATCTGTTTATTGAGATATCTGTCCCCTCACCTTTCTCCCTAACAGGGACCCAAAGGGGCTTATGACATCACCCTTCCCTCCTGCGTTTTATCCCCACAACAGTCCTCTGAGGTAGGTCAGGCAGAGAGTACGTGACTGGCCCAAGGTCACCCGGTGAGCCCCCACCGCTGGTTGGCCGCTATGTGAGACAGGACGCTGGGCTAGATGGGCCACTGGTCCGATCCAGCATGGCTTTTCTTCTGTCCTTACGAGCGGGGATTCAAACGCAGGCCTCCCAGGCACTAGCCCAGCACTCTGACCACCCCAGTGCTTCGGCGGCTTTGTCTCTGGCGGCTCCTGCCTTAAGGTGTGATCAACAGACAGGACCTCAGAGGCTTACGGAAGGTCTCCAAATCTGATTGGACCAGTGGGGACGGGGAGGAAAAGACGCAACCTTTCCCCCAGTGGGCCACTTTCTCAGATTAAAATGGGCCCTCCCTGTCCACTTTTCTCCCCGCATGGGAAAGGGTGCTGGAGCCACGTATTTCCCCCCCTAGAGGCAAAGGGCCAGGAGGGTGAGGCCAGTCACAAAATGGCTGCCACAGAGGCCGGGGCCAACTGCTGCGTTCTGGATGGTTCCAAGCCCAGTGTGTCCTCCTGTGAGGGAGCTAGAGGCTTCCCAATGGGTGTTCCCTGCAAATGCAAAGGGATGGGCCCTTCTAAAGTTCCTTCTACTCCATGGAAGTTGAGGAAAGACCGGATTGATTCTTGGCTTTGGAGAAGAGAGGCTGTTTGGCTTCAGTTTCCCAAAGCAAAGGAGAACTCCTTCCCCGCTTGACCACAGGGACTTAAAAGTCTGGGTCCGCCAGGGTGTCTGGCTGCAACACGCCCACTCAGGATGAGCCCCACCGCTTTGCTAGTCAGTCAGTGGGCAGGGAGCAACCTCAGTCTCCCCTCTTAATTTTTTGTTCCGTTTAATCCATTTTCTTCCCTTCCGTTCAGTCCCATTTGGATTTTATGCCCAAGAGTTTGGGATGCCAGCCTCCAGGTGGGGCCCCCCGAATCACAGCCTGATCACCAGACCGCAGAGATCAGTTCCCCCTGGAGAAAACGGATGCCTTGGGGGGGTGGACTCTGTGGCACTGTGCCCCACTGAGAAGTCCCTGTCTTCCCCAGGCTCCTCCCTCAAATCTCCAGGAGTTTCCCGACCTGGATCCGGCAACCCCACCAGTGGCCGGGGGGGGGGGGGCCCCGGCGCCCCTCACCGGGGGGGGGGGGGGGGCTGGCAGCCTTACCAAGGGTTGAAGGAGCACGGGGTGCCAGGAAGCATGTTGTCACTCCCAGGTGCCATGTGAGGATTGCATAAAGCACTGGAGGGGACCGTGGCTACCCAGCATGCTCCTGGACCACGTGCTGATTTGAGCCTGTGTCCCAGGTTGGGTTTTTTCCTTTTCTTATACCTCACCTTTCCACATGGTTCAAAAGGCAGCGTAAAATGACAGCAATAACAGTAAAAAAAACATTTCTAGTTAAAACCAGAATAAAATAGCAGGCCTCCCCATTCTCCCCCCCCATTAAAAGATGCCTGTCATTCAAATCCCCTCAAAAACCCTGGCAAACAAGCGAGCCTCACAGCACCTCCTGAAGATCTCCTCTTCAGGGAGCTGATTTCACAGAACCGGAGCTACGGTGGAAAAGGTTTGGGATCTGGACAATGCCAGAGCAGTCGCCATAAGTGGTGGGATAGCCAACAGACGGTTGCCGGATTACCATAGTCAGCACACAGGGACACGAAGAAGAAGAGGGGGAGATTGGATTTATACCCCAAGTGGTTAAGACGCTGAACTGCAGGCTGTGGAAGGTCGGTAGTTCAGCAGTTCGAGACCCGGGTGCCGCATGATGGAGTGAGCTCCCGTCTCTAGTTCCAGCTCCTGCCAACCTAGCAGTT